TATATTCCTCCAATCGCTACTGAATAGCGAATGTGAATTGGTTATATTGATGGCAGTACGAAAAATAAATCAGCTAAGATATCTGGGATTCTGTTATCAGTGAATGACGCGGCATCATTCAAGGAGTGAGAGATTGAATCCTCACTTCCTATGGCTCTGGTCCACTGGTATAAGTGTCGTCGGAAGGGATTGGCGATGCCAGTAGTCAGTACTTGGTACGTTAACTTAGAATATAGGGAACCTTAAGCCTGAACACCGCCCAGGGGGCTTTTCTGAAGTCGGAATACTACTTGACCCACAATTATCACTTTATGGCCGGAGATGTCCTTTCTATGGCCGCATTCGCTGCAGTAGCGATCGTCTTGTCCAAATTCCCTGTTAGGTTGCAAAAGTAATTTAGGTCTTCCATCAGCGTATAGTTTTGGGCATTAAAAGTAAAATTCATATTTTTCTTCGCCTATTAGGCAAGCTAAAGAAATACAAAATTCTCACTGCCTTTTGTGTGACAAACTTGAGGTTGAACATGGATACCCCAATTCAACTCGTTGAAAAAATGCATCCCATGCCGCAGAATGACGGTAGTATTCTTAGAATGCTTTTAAACGACACAACTATAGGAGCTTCGCGCACTATTCAGGTTGTATTTATTACATCACAAGCACGTGGTCCAGTGCATGATCTCGAAAGACGACCCTCTCGATGATAATACACTTCACACTTATATCATCTTACAGGAGTCCGCCTTACACGTGTTGTAAACTAGTCAAACCAGTCCAATGATCACTGCACAACTCCCGCGGTGAACTCAATGGCGTTTCACTCTTTACAGCGCAACCAAAACAGTAGGACAGCAAACACCAATCCACAACGCCATACCACTGGTGTGATATACTCTGGGATACGGTTAAAGATATTACGGACACTTTCGCCACAGGTTCAAGGGCCACTCTCGGCATATCATCGCAGAACTAAAGACAAACCAGCAAAAGACTCATTCCCTCACCCAAACATGGAAACAGCAATGTACAATAACTGCTAGGGGTAGTGACCACCATATCAGATCAGATTTGATATATGTGGGTTTCAAGACACATACACACTGAAGATCATACATAGCAGCAAACAAATCTGCTCACCACTATTGAGCCAACCGCTTTTGACAATGACTTACCGGCCGGAAACGACATACAAAAGGAGAGTCATCAGAATACCAACAAAAGAGACGCGCAAATGCAACAGTATACACACACCCTGATGCACGCACACACACACGCGCACACATTCACGGAACATATCAGACACTTCCACAAATCCCACGCACGCACACATACTGGAAGTAAACAAACAGGCCCACATGCACATTCATTGGTAAGATGATTGAGTGTGCGGACCACTACTCATGTGTACGGCATGGACATGTGCATACATATATAGTCGAGAATTCACGTGTCGATGTGAATCACTACACCAAACCGACCAAATTGGACGGACACCTCATGAGGTTTGATGCACATATGCGCAATATAAGAACATTGTAGTGGCTACTAACGGCACGCAGAAGAGTATCCTGAAGTGCCGCTTGACTTACAGATTTTATGATCTCCAGTTACAGCGTACTTCAGAGCCAGCTCCTGCGGCTCCTCACACACAAACACGTATTCTGATACCGACTCCTGTGTCGCGCTTTCACTGAACTGTGTTGTGCGAAAAGAGTTCGGATATTTATATCCCATCGGATTGTTCTTTCTCTCTCTCTCGGAAGTTCATATCGAATCTTCCTCGGTTGAGATTGTTTTTGATAACGTTTTGCCACTACGCCATAACTGATCTCAATACCTCACGACAGGTTCAATCGCCGTATATGAATGAAAATAAAACTACCTCTGTCAAGACAGAAGTTTGGGTGGTACTTAAAGGCTTATGCATATTAGATGGCAGCCTCAAAGACGAAGGAATGGATCAAACAGAAGATAGATGCGATGAAGCGCTAGGTCGCGTATCTAGTACTGAACACTTGCGATGCTGAAAAATAAACTGACCAACACGTTTTGACCTTTCCACATATAGTTATACGCATACACACACAATATAATAAGTTGTGATAGCATACACGCACACACTCAGTAGCCTATGCACGGGCGGGCAATTAATAAGAACAATACCTTCTCCTTATATTCGTCCTGTGTTAACACATCCACTACACTGACACAGCCCAACAGGCAGCTCTGCGGATAAGTCTCGGGAAACGGTAAGTCTCGTTCACCGTACATCGAGCGATATTGGCTCTCCACTGCCTCGATCTGTGAAGGCAAACAAGTCATGTAAGCCTGAGCACAACACCAGCGGTCGTAATCTCAGGACAACATTGTAGGGAACTGTGCGAATACAATTCACAGTCGAATATGGAACAACCCCAACCAGGGAGAAAACGAAATGACGGTACACTTTGAACTTACAGGTACTTCGTTGCACAGTATGCCAGAACACAATTCTTCAGCTTCACAGACGCCTCACTATCTGAGCTCGCATATATCTTAACAGAACATACTCATAGTACGTACAAAGTTATCAATGTATAAATACCAAATACACATATGAATACATTCAAAATCGGTTATATGTCAACATCGCTATGTAGCAGAGGGTACTGTCATGTTTTGTACAAGTAACCGGAACGGGTTTACTGGTACAGACCGAGGACATAGTACATTCAAGTGATCTCGGCCTCGCTATCGAATATGAACAAACTTGAACGTACTTTGACTTCACCGCTGCATACATACTTCTTCCGGCGTTGGCTCTTTAACAGTGGAAGCTATCCAGAGTCGTCCCCTGTGGTTCGAGTACCATCCTCTCCCCTCAACAGTTTTGATGCCTTGTACGAGCAAAGAGGCCCAGGGCTGCAACGTAAACGGCGTGTGTACAGATTCAGTGCATATATATATATATATATATATATATATATATATATATATATATATATATATATATATATATATATATATATATATATATATATATAAATATATATATATACATACGCGCATACCTCCCTACCTATATATATATATATACCTATATATATATATATA